TCATCTTCAACATTTGAAATACTAGCACTTAACTGTCCGGGCAAAAGACTTGCCTCTCATCTTTGTGTCTTGAGGCAATGCTTTTTTCAGGCACAAGTAAGCATGCCTATGGCCTCAACTTGACTCACATAAGCACCTAAACAAGGCTCAATTTGAACGACATTGCTCTCTTTCTCTCTCTCACTCTCACACGCACACACTTTGATAAAAATTTTCCCCGTATCACCACAGTACTCTCCACCACTCTCCACTAGTCTCAACATTTATTGATCCAACTTTTGTGGCTAATTTCTGTTTGCTTAATGGAGGCTAACAATCAGCCTTAGTGATCGATACAAAGATTAATCCTTAGATGCATTAGTTGGCATTAAGTAGGACCTAACATCATGAACCCACACAAGTTTTGATGGTTATTTGGCCGTGATGATTTTAAAATTTTTGACAAAAAATATAGGTTGACGTAAAATTGAAGAACATGTAAATAATTTTTTCTCTTCAGGGTTATGCCATTATCAAGCATGTAATTATATTTACCTTTTGATTTTCTTATAAGCATTAGTTTTTAATCTTTTTCTGCTTTACAAATTTGAAGCAATTCTGGAATGCAGATTATGACAACCGGACAAAAGGTATTGTTTGAATTTCTTGGAACCAATTACATCTTTACTGTTAACCAAGCTTTAGTAGAGGATGAAGAAAAAGCAAATGCTATTGAAAGAGGGATAATTACCGATGACACATATATTGTATTCGAAGCTGCTTCAAGCTCAGGGATAAAGGTTGTATATTTGTATTCTTCACATGACTTATTTGTTCATATTACTATTAGAGAAAAATGTCAAAATGGTCCATAGACTTTGTATAAGGTCATCTTTGTTGTAAACTATAAATATGTTCAATTTAATCCCTTGATTCCTCAAACATGATCCAAAATAGTCTATCTATTAGCTTATTTTAGATCAGGTTTGAGGAGTCAAGAAACTAGTTTATACATATTTTGGGACTAAAACAATCCCCTATAAGTAGTCCATGGGCCATTTTGACTTGTACAATTTCTTATGTTTTTTTATGAAGTTTTGTTTTTATTTTTCTTAACATATTTTAACTTTTTCTGCAAGAAAATGGCAATTCGTTGTAATTATAGTTAACATGGATCCTCATGTAGATTATTAATCAGCGTGAAGCTGCAAGTAGCATTATTTTCAAGCAGAAAAACTTTGATCTCCAAAAACTTGGAATAGGAGGTCTTGGTGAAGATTTTACTAAGATACTTCGTAGAGCATTTGCTTCTCGCATTTTTCCTCCTCATGTTACAAATAAGTATGTGATTCGAATGCAACCACTTGAATGCATAGTCTTGGTATTCTCTTGTGTATTGTGAATGTCATTTACTC